TATATATGGGTTAGATTGTAGGTCATATTTATTTTTTCATTCAGTAAATATTTATTGAATACACTACTTTAGGCACCTGGGATAAATCAGTGAGCAAACCAGAAACCTTGTCCTTAGGATCCTACATTCATTTTAATTTTTAATTTTTTATTCATTTTAGTGAGGAAAAAAATACCAACACAACAGTTTCAAAAAAGGTTAATATGATAGTTACAACAATTAATACATTGCATATTGTTCTCTTCGTAGTATTCAGAGGACATGATGCAGACATGATATCTTGTCCAGACAATATTAGTACAGATCTTTCTTCTCATTGAACTAATAGCAGGGAGCTGTACTTGTATCCTAACTATTTTGGATATATGTATATATATTTTTTTTCACTACAAAATGGTCCTTCATTTATGTCCCCCTTTTTTGTTTTGTCAGAGATGGGTGTTCTATTGTTAGAGAAACTATTTGGAGAACTCTTGAAAGACCTTTTCATACCTGATGCCAGTTCAACTATTGTAGGTACTTGAATTCAGCAAAATAGCCCAATATAGTCCAATAGTCCATAGGAGTAGTGGGTTGTCAGCAGATCTGACAAATGTCTGAAGCCTTTTACAGCTCAGCCTTATATAGCTCAGCATATTAATATGACATTACTTTCTATACCTTGTGGTTAGACTTTTCTGCTGGATGTTAAAGACCAAGTTAAAGCAAGACCAGGATCCTACATTCTTATATGCAAATTAGAGAAAAACATTTACTTTGGGAATGGAAAAATAATACAGACTCAAAAAAATGAAGTATTGCCCATTAACAGTATATTTGTAAGGCAGGAAATACATGATTTTCTGTCAATCATCTATGACTGACTTTGTGAAAATGAATCTGACCTGTTTATACCTCTCAAGAAACTGTATAGCATAGGAAAAATGAGTGCCTTCTAAAGATAAAATTTTGATTAGGCACAGTGGCGTATACCTGTAGTCCCAGCACTGGAGAGGCTGAGACAGGCGGATGACATCAAATTCAAAGCCAGTCTGGAATATATAGTGAATCCAAGCCTGGCCTAAACTATGTAGCAAGACCCTGCCTCAAAAACAAATTTTCCTTGAAGATTAAATTTTAAAACTAAAAGCCTAATGGGCCAGGGAGATAGCCCAGTGGAATACGTGCTTGCCTGGCAAGCTCAAGGTCCAGAGTTCAGTCCCGGGTACCACCAAAGGGAAAAAAAAAAAAAAAAAAAAGCCTGATGGAGCAACACTTTGATATGTAAAATTACCTCTAAAGGTCTGAATAGTTTTCAGATGAGAAGAGTTGACTGATTTTACTAAAGTAGAGTATCAGAGAAAAGGAAAAGTGCTACTGATGAATAAAATCTTTTAAAACTACAGATAATGAAAGGGTCCCAGGCTCTGTCTGGAGGTGAGGAAGTCTTTTCCCCAGTGTGGGGGTGAACACAGTGAGTTTTATCAACACGCAGCTTGTACTCTGACCCTCCAACAAGCCGTTACTCAAGTACAGACAGATGCCGCAGGTTGTAGCCAGTGACATCTCCACACCGGTCCCCACGCTGATGTACTCTCTTATTCTGAGATGGATCCATCAGCTTAATGCTGTTAAACACTCCTTGAGTCCACCTTCCTCCCTTGTCCTTTCAGGCTCACCGGCTTGATTTCCCTTGTTCGGCTTATTTTTCTTTCCAATGGAAGGTAGCCCTTGGGAAGCAAATACATTATTCATACCCTCTTGAGTGTATTGGCGCTTAGACAGTTGTTTCCTGTAGGAAATTAGTGATCTGGACTTAGTGCCTTGACCTGCAGGTGCACATGCTCTCGTTCCTAGGATAACAGGTCTTATACATTAATACTATTCTGGTTTATAAGTCAGTACTGCCAACTTAACTTCTGTCAAACCCCAGAGAGGTGGGCCTGTCCTCAGTGCACCAGTCTTATTTGGTAGCCTGGATGTCCAGTGATTTGGATACGGTAACCCCTTTAGATGCTTGCGGGCCAGCTCTTCTGGGCTGTGTGGTTAGCTGCATGCCTCGTAGAGACTAAGAAAAAGTAAAGGCTAGTGAATCTTAAGATTATCACCAATTGGCTGTCTGACTTAAGCAGTAAAAGAAATGGTGTCTTCCAGTATAGCAAAGGAAAGTCTTAGTGTCCGTTATCAAATCTTATTTTCTAGGGGGCCCTGGAGAAAATACATTATGCTGTTTTTTTAGAAAAATGTTTTTTCAAATAAGTGTAAAGATTTATTCAAGCTGACTTCAATCCTCAAAATAAAAATGTGACTTGACCTGTGGAGGAGATGTGTATTTACTAGTCAGTTGTCATAAGAAGGAAAATAGAATGGCAGCTCACTCCACCAAGTCCCTCCTCAACTGTCCTTGTCACTGTCTCCTTAGAATAACAGGGCACTGCTGAAAGTTGTACATAGACTCTTTCATCACTGTATCCACGTGGCGAGTGTGGGCAAATGCAAGGAAGTGCACAAAGTGCTGGGCTGGACGTAGCCCTCACCGCATGACATTTCCCTTGCTCTTTCATTAGGTGCATAAATGCTACGGACCCCAAACCCTTCTCTGAAATTAATAATCCTTCAGATCTGCTCAAAATTCACATTCCCTGGGCATCTCACTGCTTCAAATGAACAAAAAAAAATTTTTATATAACAATTGGAACAATCAGATTTCCTTCGCATGTGTTCGTGTGTCATTACTTGATAATAGAGCCAAATATTTGTGGAGAGGACAAATTCCCTGCAAATGAAAAGAAAGGAAAAACTGGCTTCCAGAATGTGTTCAAGGGGCCAGGAGATGTGTTCAAGTTAATCAATGTCAGAGGGAAGTTTTCCAGTATTCTTTGCTATTTTCTGTGTGTGACAAAAGTAAAGAATTTGAATTCTGGGTTATACTTACATACCCACAGATACAGCATGGAAAATATCGTGATTGTGGATAATTTGTCTTAACATATCACAGGCCGTATTCCACTCTTAGCTAATTCTAATAGAGAATCCCCATAGAATTATATGCAGAAAGGTGAACAAGCTCGTGTGGTTTTTGTAATCTTCTTCCTTCCTTTTTCTTTTTTTTATTATGACATTTTGATGAAATTGTAGACATTGCACCATTAAGGAGCCTATTGTACCATCAGATTTATTCCCTGAGGTATTGTTTCCCACTAATATAAGTTT